TTTTATCACGGGGACTTTGTCACCTCCTTTTTAAAAATATTCAATATAAACATGGTAATGTACTCTACAGAAAATAAATTTCAAAAATGAAAAATGTTTATTTAAAGAACAATATTCCGATTCCGATTGATTAACGTGTTCATGTTTTCTTTTAAGATTATTGTAGGGTTCAATGTACTTAGAACTTCCAGGCACACTAGTAAAAAATGTTATTATTTTATTTTTATTTTTATTTTTTGACTTTAAGCGTTTATGGAAAAAGAATAAATACTTAAATTTTAATACTATCATTAATATTTTTCAAAAGTATATTAAATTACTATAATATAATTTTGATTAAGGGGGCCTTGACAGTTTTACATTAAATTTAGGGAGCCTCACGACAAAAAAAATTGAAAAATACTGTACTAGATTATAGTGTAAAATATCTAAATATAATAAATATAACTAGCTGTCCCGGTAAAAGATCATGTTTTTAATGTTGCATTTCAATTTGAAAACTACATATACATTTTTCACTGTTTATTTTTCTAACATAATTTATATTTATTGAAGAAATATATAAACAAATTTTTTGACAAAGGTGGGTTGCTCAATACACAGTCAAATATTAACCAAATATATCATAACGCATTAGGTCAAAACAAGAATGATATTCACTTACAAAAAAAAAAAATGAGCAAGGTGCTAAAAACAAGAAAACACCAAAAAAACTAAACAATTTTTCAAAATTAGTTTGAAGTTTATAAGATATAACTATTATTGAATAATATTATAATATAAATAATATACCTAATCATAAAATAAAATATGCAAAATATTTTAAACATGTTTTTAGTTTTTTATGAGCACTAGAAAATAATACTCCACTCTACCAGACTACTATTAGAATTAGGAGTAGAATCATAATAGTTTTAATTTAATTTAAAGATTTTAAGAAGGATGCTAATATCAAAAGAAGTGACTAAATTATACATAATATTTTTTTCTAATTGATGTCTACTCAATAAAAATATTGCCAATGAATAAAATGCAAATGTAATGTATAATTACAGGCTCCACATTTATTATACCAACTCAATTAAAAAAAAAAACTTTTTATGATTCAATGTTTTTGTAAATACTGACTTCAATTTTAAAAAATATAAGCATTTTAATTCTGAAGTTTTAAGACATTTTGCATTTAACAGAATGAAATCTTTAAAAAATTAATATACATATATATTATAATACTATAAATAATTTTCGAAAAATTAACAATAATATTTTATATTGCTATATTATATTATTCAAAAATTAATAATATATAATAATATTTTAAATAATTTTCTTAAACTTTAAACTAGGTACAATAGTATAATTTACAAATGTTTGTAGTTTAGTTGAATTACACATAATATATTATCGTAATTTAAAACATAATATTATTTATATAATTATATTTATATAGTGATAAATGATAATATTCTATTATATTCTATTATCACTATACAAAATTGTTTAAATAATATAGTATAATATAATATAAATATTAAATATATTATATAATTTAATATACCTACGTATTTGTAATTAAATATCACGGACTAAGATAGTATTTAGGATTTCATCATGTGGGCCAGATAATTTTCCCAACATAGTTACATCTTAAATGAGTGGGGGCCTAAGGGCCTTCCCCCCCCAAATTCCTCAACCGAAATAGGAGTTCGATTTCATACAATGCAAAATAAATAACTGTTTCGAATGTTTCGAGGTTCATAATTATTTATTTTTAATAGGTATTATAATATTACGGTTATTATAGCTGTCCGCCTGTCACGCCCGCCGTTGCCCGTGCCAAAATTTTGAAAATTTGTTTTTTCTTATGATAAAATATATTATATCAGTATACCTATGCCATATTTGATATTTTTAATAATTATAATAGTAATATAATATGTAACCAACATCAACGGCTTGAAAAAAAAAAAACAAAAAAATAATAATTGAAGAGACTGATCCGGTCAGTTTTCCAGCATGCGTCTCGCTCCTTAGATTTTTCAGCAGATTTCCTGGCTAACAGAAGAAACTATTGCTATATGCCTATATAGTTAATAATATCCAGTACTAAAGTATTTAGTAAAGTACTTACTGTTTGTTCGATTTGTTGACAGATGAGGCGTCCAAAGATTATTTTCAAAATAATAAGTTGCCTCCTGCCTATGAGGTTCTTTAATCTTCAGTTCTTCACCTACCTAACCACAAATATAAGCATATAATTATACCTACCTATTCAAATATAATATAATAGGGGCCTGGTATCTGGTGTGGCTCAGTAGTTGACCTCAGTCACTCACGTATTCTGAAGTCAAGCGTCCGAGCATCGGCTGACGTCGCTAGTTCCCGGATGGGTGGCCACTCGGGGTTTTAGTGACAAATCCTCGCCCTCACATACATATATTGTATGTTGAATGTTCCTCAACAAAAACTAATTTTATTTAAACAAAACCAGAATACTAATATCTCAGATCCAGGACATCTATTTGAAATTAAGTTTTTTTTTATAAAATACAATTACAAATATTGAAATATGCACTTATGACTTATAAATGAAAAATGGTCTATAGGTATTATGCAAAATATGAAATTAAAAATTTTAAATATTAACTCGTATTGCCATGAAACAATTTTTTATATTACTTAGCTATGTTTTTAATGATACATAGCTAAACATGCAAGCTCCTAGAATTCTTTAGCTTAATAATAATAAATAAATAAATATAATATATATACCTAATACATAGCGGCATAGCGCCCTATTATACAGCTATTACTTGCTGTCGGGCTGGTGATAAATGCATTTAGCATCATGCTTTTGAGCCATTTACTCTATATTATTTTGAAATTTACCCATTTGCTTAAGGCCTTGTCGTCCACCAAAACGTATTTTATTTTTATCTAGGTTTATTTTTACCTAATTCTTAATTCTAACACTTAATTCTTCAAGCATTGCCTTGCCCTACCTAATTAATTTAGGAAAATATTTGCGTTTTACATATTAGGTACCGTAAAATGGGGTGAATTGCAACGATTTTTGAGTTATACCCAACTTTGATCTTCAATTAAAAATCAGACATTTATAATACCGTTAAGGAAAACACTCTTTTACAATTGTTGTTACCTTGTTTATCATTATAAGTATAATTCAAAAATATAACTTATAAAGTTTTTTTATAATATATTTTTATTTGACTTTGTTGCAATTCACCTTTGAATGGGGTGAATTGAAACATTGCATTAAAAATCATGTTTTATTCATTTAAAACAATTTATAGGTGAATTGAAACACTACATACATTTTTTTTTTAAAAATAGGCAATTTTTTGAATTTATTGATATAATTTTCAATTTTTTCTGATTATTATAGGCAAAATAATAAATATCTCAAGTTTTAGTAACATAAAAATATAACAAACTTTGACAAATTTCAGTCTTTGAAATCAAAATGTGGATATATACGTATAATTGGCGCATGCAGTGTGTATAACTTACTATACTACTAAATAATATGTGTATAACTACCAATATGTTTTTTTTTTTTATCCATATTATGTTATTATTCAATATGTTACAAAAAAAGAAAAAAGAAGAACAATATAAGAACAATTTATGGTTTATATGTTAAAAATAAATAAAAATAAAAAGGCAGATTAGTCAGACATAGAGGCCTCCCAGTGGAGGTACTACGACAGTACGACATGAGTAAAACCTATATAATGTTAAATACTTAAATGTGAGTGTATTAAACCTAAGTAGCAGTGGCGTAGCCAGGGGGGTGGCTAAATGGGCTATACCCCCCCCATTGACCGATGTTGACCCTAGAATTTTATCGAGATTAATAAAAAAATAAAAAGCGTAAATAAAAAACACATTGTATTTGTATACTTAGCCCCCCCCATAAAAAATTTCTGGCCACGCCACTGTTAAGTAGGTATTTTATCTACTTTTATCAGCTACCTAATATACCTATTATTATGCTATTTACACCATTGAAAATAAATTTATGCGAAGAATGGTTAATATTTAGCTAGGTATAGGTACGGTTATACGATTTACCTACACTACGGCAATTTGTAGGTACGCACAATATCCATATATAGCTTATTACTAGTTATTCGTTATACACCTATCGTATACCTACCTACATGGTGCAACATTCAATCATTCAATCATTGTATTTAATTTAATAGGTAATAGTAATATGAATGAGTTTATTCCTTATTAGAATAACTGTAGATGAGTTATAAATGAAAAAAAAAAATAAAATCCCAACTTAACCTATGTATTTGGCTATGGCAAGTACCTATATCAGGTATTCAGCTGGTGTCTACGTGTAGTACCCAGTATTTACAGCTGTGCCTATATATATAGGTAGGCAGGTCTTCTGTTGCTTATAAGTTTATAACGTTATAACTTATTAGTACCTACCGTCTGTAGTTGTATCTATTAGGTACTTGGTATTCACTAGATAGTAGATAGGTACATTTATATGTACCATTGAGTAAATAATATATGTACCTATTCAAGCGTTATTTTAAAGATAGTTTAACGTTTGTAATATATACCTAATTACATGGTCACAGTAGAACCTACCTGTAGGTATATGCTAATTTTACAATGTAAGTACACCACTGATAGCAAATTTACATAATAATAATATTAAGTAGGCAATACCAAATACTAGAACCTAAATACTAGTTCTACCTATATACGTATAATAGTATTTGGTAATACCTACTGTAATAGACAACAGTAAAGATAATATTATATTTGAACTGAATTACTGAAGAGTGAAGGACATTCAAAATATTCTTGCAGGTATATTTACTCGATTATTCTCATTTCTCTCTACCTATTTAAATATTCAAGTTAGAACGTTTGAGTTCATAAGTTTTGCGGTTTTCGCCCAAAGCAGTTCTTGTGTTTCTAAAATTAAATTTATAATCATCTTGAAAATAAATATGTTGTGGTGTTTAACATTATGTTTGGTAAGAGTACCTGAAAACCTATAATGTTCTGTTTTAGATTTTATCATGCTTATTATGAAGTTTAGAACCAAATTGAATACTATCATTGTTTTTTAATTAGATTATAAAATCAATGATTCTATATAGGTTATGCTAAACGTATCTGCATGCAAGTACAATGTCAAACAAGCTATGGAAAAAAAATTAATCGTACCTGATGTCATTCCTATTGCTCCAAAGGAAATGTTACAAGTAAATATAAAACATATCAAATATCAAAATACTTAATTTAAATCCTAAGACTTGGTAATATAAAAATATTATAGGTATATTATCCAAGTGGCTTGAAAGCAGAACTTGGTTATGAACTAACACCCACTCAGGTGAAAGACCAGCCATCAGTTAGATGGAATGCTGAACCTTATTCATTCTACACATTATGCCTAACTGGTGTGTATATTGCCATGCTGATAGCTATATATAAAAGTGTTGATGATTTTTTTTACTGTTATCTACTCAGATCCGGATGCAGGAAAATTAAAGGAATTTCACCATTGGTTGGTAGGAAACATACCAGGTGCAGATGTGAGTGTGGGAGAGACACTAACTGCGTATGTTGGTTCTGCAACTCCACCAAAAACAGGTAACTACCTAATAAATATTTTATACAATAGGGATATTTATTAAAATTTAAAGGTTTACCTACAAAATACATTTCAATATTTTTAGGACTTCATCGTTACGTGTTTTTAGTATACAAGCAACCATCAAAATTGGTATTTGATGAGCCGCATATAAGCAATAGGTAATATATATGTTTACCATCACTAATTGTGTTACTGCAATATACTATTTTTTACTCTTACAAACTTTAATGTTAAACATAATTTATATTTTTTAGAACTGCTGAAAACCGTTTTAAGTTTTCAATTCATAACTTTTCAAAGAAGTACAAATTAGGAACACCTGTTGCTGGTAATTTCTATCTGGCACAATATGATGATTATGTTCCAATTTTATTTCATCAACTCGGAGTTCAGTAATTAATTATTACTATTGAAACCTAATTTTGAGTTAGGTACTTGGGTATTTATGAGTATGTCTTCACTCACATTAGGTCATGTAGAATTTTTTTTTTTTTATATACAATCAAGGTTTTTACGCTTATTTAAGTTATAGATGTAACAACTTTTCAAAAATAATATTGTATTATTAAGCTTTTTAAAAAGAATAAACTTTATTTTATTTTAATATGCTTGTTAAGCTAATAAAAATACTGGGTCTCATAATCATAAGCTGTTATAAAAGTTACACCACAGCTCTATCAAACATTGTTATGCTCTATTCAGCATAAGATTAATATACAAATGTGTTTGAATGTAAAAATATTGCTATGATACCGGCCAGACTATTTTATTGCGGAATGTGGATTTGTTAAATATAGTCGAGTTAAATAATTTAATAATTTTTTAACTTTTATTTTTTAAATATGATCTGTATAATAAATTAGTTATGATTTAGAAATTTTGTCTTTAAGATGACCATCTGCAATTGGTGATGATGTTGGATAGAACTGTAGACTGCGAGGGCTATCTGTATCAATTGGACTTGGTGTATTTATATAAGAACTAGTACCTGTAATAATAACATGAAAACAATATTTAACATTTACACAAAGTAATAATCATTTGATTATGACATACTGTTACAACCAGATGGTGTTATTTCTTGATATGGTGAGTAAGAATGAATTGAAGAACCATACAATGTACTTGGTGACTGTCCATAAGAAGTATCAGAACCCAATGGATATTCTAAATCTTCATCAGTTACTCTGGCAAAAGTGTACCCAGAAGCTGGGTCCCAAGCGTGGGTGGGTGTTTTTGAACCATCGTGTGATGGAGTAGTACTTCCAAAGTTTGGTGTACGGTTACCAACTTCATAGTTAGGTGTTATTGAACCTTGCACAAGAGGCAAACTTCCCTCACGATATCCAGGAGTTGTTAAAGTGTTAACTGGTGTTCTTGAGTACGATGATGTTAATCTTCCATCCTTAGATTTTTGTAAAACAATTGTTATGTTTCTTCGATCCACCGATATTGTTTGACAAGAAGAATGAAGTTCAACTCTGGCTGTACACTCTGTTGCATCTTTTACAATGCCAACATCCCCTTTGTAAGGGCCAACAATAATTCTAATTGTCTGACCAATTAACCCTATATCTCTTTGAACACCACCAAATCTACCTCCAGTTCCTACAAAAGTGTCTTTTCCAATACCTACACCTTCTTTAACACCCAACTGACCAAAGGTACTACGCCATGGAGACATAGATTGTGGAGATGAAAATCCATTTTGTGTTGTAATCTTAGTTTGCTAAATTGTTAAAAACCAATGATATTAAAATTAATTTACAAATATACATTCTGATATACACTATATTACTCGGTTCTTTGAATTTCCAGCAAGGGCAATATGTCTTAAACGACAAACAAAAATTCCACCATTATCTGTCATGAAACGGGAATACAAAAAAGCAAAGTGGCGATATAAATGTTTGATTACACCATGCAGACCCTAGATTATAGAAATATATTAGCCTAATAAAATAATAATGATTTGAAATATACATTCTACAATAAATATTAGAGAAAAGTACCGTGTGTGGACCATCAATAACTTTCACAATATCATTTCTTTGTATTGAACTTCCCAAACCATCAACTCCAATTGTATTTCTATGCTCTTTTTTTTTATTTAAAGATTGTGGTTTAGCTTCAACCAATTTTCCTGCCATATTTAAAATTTGCATTTTTTCACGCTCAATCCTCACTATTACTCCAACACTTTGTGGGCTACCAAATAAAATATAAATATAAATTGTGTCAAATCAGTATTCCAAATAACAATACATACTCTATTTGAACAAGGTCTCCCCATTGGAATTGTCCAAGTGAATCAACTCCAGAAGCCGTATCTGTACACAATTGTAAATCACGAGGCAAAACTTCAAGTTCGTGCATGGTGACATCAGAAAATAACACAACTCGATTTTGTTCTACTCGAACAATGAGTCCTGTATCACCCTCATAACGTCCTCCAACTACTTTTACATGGTCACCTTGTTTAAAATACTTACGCAATTCGTTAAACATAAATTCTAGTGGCATCTAAAATAATAAATAATAATTATATTTACACAACTTCAAAAATCTGAACATGCTACATTATAGAGTCATTTTAGATTCCGAGTGGATAATAAATGTATTGGTTTTACAATGGTCAACGTTGCATTTTTTAGATTCTGAGTGAAACGATGAATGTATTGATTTTACAATGATGTGTGTTTTTTTTTTTATTTTTTTTTTATTTTTATTTTTTTTATTTTTATTTTTTTTATTATTTTTTTTATTTTTATATTTATTTTTTTTGTGTCTGTGTACACGATAAGTAGTCGAAATAATGCTTCGATTTTCGACTTCAGTATCTTGTTCGATTGGAAAGTGAATATCGTTGGTGCATTGGGGAGGTCAAAATTTAAATTTCACAGTAGTTTTCAAGAGCGCCGGGAAAAACAAAAGAAAAATTAAGGAAAAACGGGAATTTTTACGCAAAATCGATTTTTCAGAAAATTGAATTTGGTTTTTGGTGTAACTTTAAAACAAATGACCGTAGGTACATGCAATTTTCACTGGTTGTTTATATTTGCATCTTCTATACACGATAACATTTTCAAAATATTTTGATTTATTTTGAACAGTTTAGGGACATTTTCATTTTTAGTTTTTTTTTAGTTTTTTTTCTTAAAATATCAATAAAATTTTATTTGTTGGTTGCGAAAGCTTGAAAATTTAATAGAAGGCTCCTAATATATTGTTTCAAGGGCAGATGAAAAATATTAAAAATCCTTAGTCACAATTTTTTTTTATAAGCATTTAAAGTTCAAAAATTGACAAAATATGGAAAAATCACGAAAATTAGCAAATTATTTTGAGTTAAGAATTCGTAAAAATTTTTCTTTTTAAATCTAAGATTTGAAAATCTAATACAAGATTACTCATAAGATTGTCTACCTTTATCAATAAAAAAATCTCTACCGGAAAGTCAAATTAAATTTTTATGAGCGTTTGAAATTCAAATTTTTACAACATTGGATATTCACTCGATTTCTCATGTGGCAATTTCCTTTTTTTGTTGTAATTAAAAAACGAATTACTGTAGATACATGAAAATTTCACTGAATGTTTATATTAGCATTTCCCATACACCATACAATTTTGAAAATATTTTGACTCTTTTTGAGCCGTTTACGGACATTTTCAGTTTTCAATTTTTTTAGTTTTTTTTTTCTATAAATATTAATTAAGTTTTATCTGTTGGGCCAAAAAGTGTAAAAATTTAATACAAGGCTCCTGATATATTGTTACAATATCAGTTGAAAAATATTAAAAATACATAGGCACAATTTTTTTTTATAAGCATTTTAACATCGAATTTTGACAGAATTTTTCAAAATCTCGAAAATTATTAATCATCGTAATTAATAAATTATAAAATGTTCAGTTTTTATAGCTAAGGATTGAAAATTTAAAACAAGATTCCACGTAAGTAGTTAATTCTCTTACCGAAAAATCTAAAAAATATACAATCACAGTTTATTTTTATAGTCATTTTATGTTCAAATTTTGACGAAATTACATATTAAAAAACCTAGTTATTTTGTTGTGATTATATAATATTATTCGTGGGTACCTACTTGAAACTTCTAAAGTGTACTATTATATATATATGATAGTATCAGGGTTTGTTGTTGGTGTATAACGTGTTATTAGTACCTAATGGATATTGTGATAATGTGATATGATTAATTTGGAATTTATTATAGGTCAATTTTTTTTTAATACCATAGATATGTATATAATTTGTCTTAACCTAGACTGACATACCGTCTTCGCTCAGAATCGTTTTTCTTATACAATGATATTGTATCATTGAATTCAAATTTAATAGCATCAATTATACAGTGACCCACTTGTAACCTACTGTACAGCAGAGCGACATCCACTTACCCACCTTTTTTAAAATAAATTGTGTGTTTGTCATTACCTTTTGGGGCAGTAAAAATGGTTCAAATTTTCTCTTCAGTATCTTGTTTCATGGGAAAGTGAATCTAGTTGGTGCATAAGGTGGGGGGACAGTGGCATAATTTGGTTTGGGGGGGATATACATTCTTAGCAAACATTAATGGTCATTACCAGTACTTTGATCAAAACGTTAGCAGTAAAAAAAGTTTTGGGGGGGGGATTTATCCCTCTCATCCTAGACCTGAGGGGGAAGTCAAAATTTAAAATTCCCAGTAGTTTTCAAGTGCCGTGAAAAAAAAATATAATTCAGGAAAAACAGGAAGTTTTACGCAAAATCGGTTTGGGTTTTTGGTGAAAATCTAACAAATGACCGTTGAAATTTTCACAAATATTTATATTGTTCACATTTTATATATACCATACCATTTCCAAAATATTTTGACTTGTTTGAGCTGTTTACAAACTTTTGGGTTTCCAATTTTTAGATTCTGAGTGGAACGATGAATGTATTGATTTTACAATTATGTTTTTTTTTTTTTTTTTTTTTTGTGTCTGTGTACACGATAAGTAGTCGAAATAATGCTTCGATTTTCGACTTCAGTATCTTGTTCGATTGGAAAGTGAATATCGTTGGTGCATTGGGGAGGTCAAATTTTAAAATTCCCAGTACTTTTCAAAAGCGCCAAGAAAAACAAAAGAAAAATTAAGGAAAAACGGGAATTTTTACGCAAAATCGATTTTTCAGAAAATTGAATTTGGTTTTTGGTGTAACTTTAAAACAAATAACCGTAGATACATGAAATTTTCACTGGTTGTTTATATTTGCATTTTCTATACACGATAACATTTTCAAAATATTTTGATTTATTTTGAACTGTTTAGGGATATTTTCATTTTTAATTTTTTTTAGTTTTTTTTCTAGAAATATCAATAAAATTTTATTTGTTGGTTAAAAAAACTTGAAAATTTAATAGAAGGCTCCTAGTATATTGTTTCAAAGGCAGATGAAAAATATTAAAAATCGTTAGTCACAGTTTTTTTTTATAAGCATTTAAAGTTAAAAAATTGACAAAATATGGAAAAATCACGAAAATTAGCAAATTATTTTGAGTTAAGATTCGTAAAAATTTTTCTTTTTAAATCTAAGATTTGAAAATCTAATACAAGATTACTTATAAGATTGTCTACCTTTATCAATAAAAAATCTCTACCGGAAAGTCAAATTAAATTTTTATGAGCGTTTGAAATTCAAATTTTTACAACATTGGATATTCACTTGATTTCTCATGTAGCGATTTTCTTATTTTGTTGTTATTCAAAAACGAATAACTATAGATACATGAAAATTTCACTGAATGTTCAGATTAGCATTTCCTATACACTGTACAATTTTGAAAATATTTCGACTATTTTTGAGCTGTTTACGGACATTTTCAGTTTTCAATTTTTTTAGTTTTTTTTCTATAAATATCAATAAAGTTTTATCTGTTGGGCCAAAAAGTGTAAAAATTTAATACAAGGTTCCTGATATATTGTTGCAGTAGCAATTGAAAAATATTAAAAATACATTGGCACAATTTTATTTTATAAGCATTTAAACATCGAATTTTGACAATATTTATTAAATCTCGAAAATTATCAATCATTGTAGGTAATTAATAAATTATAAAATGTTCAATTTTTATAGCTAAAGTTTGCAAATTTAAAAAAAAGGTTCTCATAAATAATTCATACAGTAACCAAAAAGTCTAAAAAATATATGAACACAGTTATTTTTTACAGACATTTTAAATTCAAATTTTGATGAAATTACATATTAAAATCAATATTAACGATCTTTGTTTTTGTTGTAATTTAAAAATATTATTCGTGGATATTATGAAACTGAAAAATCAAAATATCCATACAATCTACCATAATATAAGGAATAAGAATTATGCTCATGATAAGACTGTGCATATTTTAAGGAATTTATTCATAAATTCCATATAATTTAATACCATAGAAAAGTATATAATATGTCTTACACCTAGACTGACATACCGTCTCCGCTCAGAATCGTTTTTTTTTATACAATGATATTATATCATTGCATTCAAATTTAATACCATAAATTATACACTGACCCACCACCCACTTGTAACCTACAGTACAGCAGAGCGACATCCACTTACCCACCTTTTTTTAGTTTTTTTTTCTATAGATGTCAATAAAATTATATTCATGGGGTCAAAAAGCTTGAAAATTTAATAAAAATATCCTCATATATTGTTACAACGGCAGTTGAAAATTATTAAAAATACAGTCACAATTTTTTTTAAAAGGTTTTAAGTTTGAATTTCAACAAAAAACTTAAAAATGTGCAAATTATATTGAGTTAGTAATTCCTAAAAATTTTTCTTTTTAAATCGTAGATTTTAACATTTAAAACAAGATTCCTAATACGTTTGTATTCTTTTATCAAAAAATAGTCAAAATAATTTTGTATGAGCGTTTGAAGTTCAAATTTGTACATTATTGGATACCTATACAATTTCTCATGTAGCAATTTTCTTATTTTATTGTAATTCAAAAACGAATAATTGTAGACATTTGAAATTTAAACCATATGTATATTTAATCGTTTTCTTACTTGATAAAATTATCAAAATATTTTGGCTCGTTTCAAGTTGTTTACAGACATTTTAAATTATTTGTTCAGTCAAAAAACTTGAAAATTTAGTACAAGGCTCCTGATATATTGTTACAACAGAAGTATTAAAAATACATGCAAAATACACATGCATTTTTTATTGTAAGCTTTTAAAGTTCAAATTATAACATGATTTATCAAATCAAAAAGTGCAACTTTTATTGCTGAGGATTGAAAATTTAAAACAAGGTTGCACATTTGAGTTACTATGTGTGTTTATCTTTGTTTATTATAAACAAAATCACTTTAATTAACTAATAAAACAAAAAAATAAATTTCTAAAGCCTCAAATAACTACCGGGTGGTTATGTTATGACATATAATAATAAAATTAAATATAACTCAATAAATTAATTAATTTTATCACTTAATACAGCTACTGTCTTTCCAATTAATTTACATAATGTATTTGAATCATTTGTTGTCTCCGTCTTACAATAACATATCAAATTGTACGCTCAGTAGGTCACGTTTAACTCTGTTAGTTTAAAAATTAGAGTACATTTACCTATAATACAATTTAAACATAAAATTACTATTGAGGACATTTCATAGGCTATTTGTTATTTTTCAATTTTAAAGCTAGTTATGAGTATTTTAAGATATATAAACCATTTCCAATTTTAAAATACTCAGCTTTAAAATTAAAATATAACAAAAAGCCTAAGAGATGCCATAGATAACAATCTTACCTTTACATTTTTTAAGAGGAAAATTCACTCTGATTTTCAGACTAAATAACAGAGTTAAACGTGATCTGTGAATTGCAAAATTTGCGCACTTAACACCTAATATAGTATTATATTTCAACTGTTACTCACATTAAGATTTTCATGTTTTGGCATAATCAAAACTGTGTCACCATCAGTAGATAATACTTTTCCCTGTAAATTCATTAACTCTCCAGCACATACTTCTACATTATCACCAGAACATAAGATCTGACTGTTTGCTAAATTGTCTTTATTGGATAATGTTAATTCTATGTCCAAGCCTTCAGGAACGTCTTCAAATTTTTCAAGTTCTAATAGTGTGGGTTTGACTCCTTCGGTCATTATTGCATTTATGTAAAAGTTTTTGTATAAGAATCCTTTATGGCTGTATCGATTTCCTTCAAATATTAAAAAATCACCATCACTGGTAACTTCACCGCCAATAGCTTTGATAGCTTCTAGATCAAACGGTTTGGCTGATACACGCCTCTTTTTCTTTCTTTTCAAAGCTTCTGGATCCTAGTAATTATATTATATTAAATAATAACAATTACGAGAATTATAAATTGCTCACCATTGATACTCTGAGAGCGCCACGTAGTCTAGTATAATCAATCCTTGGTAATAATTTCAAATGTACTTGATTTTGTGCCAAGTCCACATAATCTATTTGAGCAATGTCATCTTTGTATAAACCTTCAAAAATACAGTTTTAGATATTTTCATGTTACTTAAAATACAATTATAGGTATTGAAAAAATTAACCTTTTTTTAATCTAACCCATTGTTTAGATTTCAAACTTGTTTGTACTTTAACAACTTTTAAAACATCAGTCATTTCTTTGATAGGGACCATTTGTTGTTTCCAAAATCCATATTTAAGACTGCTTACATTTTCAATGGCTGATTTTACATGAGTTTGTTTGTACGATTCAACGTATATATACCCCTTAAGACCTTCAGGAGAAACAATAGATTTGATTTTCAATGGATCGTCGGTAAACTGGTATGCAATAAATTTCCGCATTAAAAGTATAGCAGTATTTTTTTCATCACCAATACGACATTTGACCATCCATAAATTTGGGTCCCTTTAAACAGAAGTTTACATTTTATACATTTTTTAATTCATAGTATAATTAGGACCAATGAGAGGGTGGTTTAGGGGGTTCTGATGCCCCCTCATTCATTTAACCACATTTTTCAATCGGCACATTCAGCTATGTTGTCAAAAAAAAAAAAAAAAAAAAAATAACTAAATAAAATAGTCCAAAGTGGAAAAATATGTTCTATTTAAAATAGTTCAAATAAAAGCTCAATGCATCAATTAATGTAATGATTTCTTACACCATGTCTCTGCCATCACAGACATTTAATGATTATCAAACAGCTTATTTATTGTAATTTCAAAAACATTGCTCAATCATCATTTAGAAGTTATAACCAAAAAACTTCAAAATGCTTGATTTTTATAAAAATCGTATTTTTGAGTTAAGTATTTTTATGCTAAACATTTTGGTGAAATCAGAATTTATCTATCAAAATTACTTTTTATGTTATTAATAATAAATCATCTAAAAACTTAAGAGGACATCACACCCACATGTGTTGTCTCCGTTTTACAAATGTACAACATAGGAAAAACTGTTTTGCGCGGGACAAATTTTCTCGCACCATATTTGTAGTAGAACTACCAAATTTTCACAACACGTAAAGAAGAACTTTTCTGTGAAACAGAGGTTCTTTTTTTTTTTTAATAGCACTACAAAATCATTTTTTATAAACAAATCAAAAAAAAACAAAATATTTAGAAGCAAATAACTTTTATTGTATTAATGTAAATAAAATATAGGCACGCTGTAACATAGATAATTGTATCCCTATATGTACAGAAATTTTGGAGCCACTTCTACAAACACAGAAAGATAAAAGTTGTGATAATAGTTTTTGCGAGTTTTTGGTATGTTGTACATTTGTAAGATTGAGACAACACATGTGGGTGTGACACCCTGTTAATTATAACGTTATTTTAAACATTTGCATATTACAGTAACCTAAAATTGACTTTTTAGGCCTTATTTTTATCATTTGGTGTGTAATAACATTAATAAGTTTTTGGTAAAAACAGAACAAACTAATATTGGAACAATTCTAATATTATAGTTCCCAACCAAAGTTTTCAAAAATATTTTTTTTTCAAAACATGTGTTTTAACATCTTTTTCCGCATTTTTAATGCCACATTTTGAATAGTTAGAACACAAGTTCAACTAAGTAATTTATAAAATAATAACAATTATAAATCTGTATACCCATTTGGGAAAAAATAATATTTATTTGAAATAATATGAATTAATTATTAGTTAAACTATTGTCATAAACATAAAATACATAGTGGCAATTATGTTGAAGTAAAAGATATTAGTCTTGGAATAGCAAATAACCCTCTTAGTGCGGCCCAATTGAATATCCAACGAAAAACTTATAACTAAACAATAGTTATTATTTTATGATATCCATTTAAAATCAAAATAGATATAGTATGATACTGTAGAAAAAAATGTCAATATTTTGAGTATAGCTAGAAAATATTTTTTGGATGTATTTGGATGATTTGGAGTCATCAATTTCATTAACCACAACCCCTCTTAAATATAACATATAAATGCCGGCCATGAGTATAGTATAAATCTTACTTGACACCAGGTAAAAGAGTTTGTTGCATAATTTCATCTGAAAGTTCATCTCCAGCATCTCCAAATTGGTTTATTGTAGTTGAAGAATCTGCATATCTATTACGCAAGTATTCTTCAATTTCCTCTTCATCTTGATTGCTAAAAAATTTATAAGAATGATTATTTATTTATGATGTGCACAATGGTCCTTGAATGAACCTATTCTAATCAAAAAATATTCATAATTTATTAATATGTACAAAGCCTTACTCCCAAAGGTTAGTTCCACGTCTGCGTCCTTCAATTTCTCTTGCAGTTGGTCCTAATTCATCAATCTCATTAGCAACAATACCATACTCGCCCGCTCCATCTTCCCAATCATCATCTTCTTCTATTTCATCATCTACATCAGCTTCATCAATGATAAAACCACCAAAGCGTTCATTTTTCTTTTTTTTCTTGGACGGACGGTCATCTTCTTCATCATACTCCTTACAAAAACAACAGAAACAATCACACCAAACCATTACATCAGAATTAAGAACTTACATCATCAGAATTTAAATTCTCGCCTTCTGGTTCTTGTTCATCAGCAACTTCTTCTTCCCTGTAACATTAATCAACATTTGCATTTAATATTGACTGTGCTCTCCGCAACACTTTCGTTATTACTGATTATTTTCTTCAGCCTCAGATCCACATGGCGAATGGCTTCTACTTGAACTGTGACTTCTATCACGATACCGTCGATTTCCCTAAAAGCAAACGCCACAAAAAAGTAGCAATAGGGTATTTAGTATTTACTAATGTATTTTTTTTTAAGCATTTATTAGTTATTACTTCGTGATCACTTCCTGAATCGCTTTCCGACATTTCAGAAGTGTAGGCGATCGCTCTCACAAATAACACGATTATAAACTTATAGTACACCAGTAGTAAGTACTGAGCACAACAAAATATAACGATCAATTTGAAACAGCGAAACAATAATAAATAACTAGATTATTAATAATTATTTCAGATTTGTATTTTCCATAAATACGAAGCATCAGCCAGGTTAACCATATCGAAATAGATGTCACGTGATCACTGACCACGGGTACCCGTTTAATTTGGTCATTTTGGTACTCTCATAATAATCATCAATTAAATTGTCAATATTCTTCGGAAACTCATCAACATATTTGTCCGAATAGCATTTAAAAATTATAATAAATTAATATTCATAAATTTTAACTTTTATTGGATCTATAAAACTATAATTGCTTTAAAGATATATACTTTTAAGTCTCCCGTACAATCGAATAATCGATGTGACAGGACTTTAAGTTTGCCGGATATAACGTATTGTCAAATGGGTACACACTGGGAAATGGGAATACAGAAAGTCTATTTAAACATTGTGAAAACAATAAACATTAGAGAATGGCTCTCTATTATGAGTTATTCAGTTATTGTAATAAAATAGTGACATATATCTATTCTGCGGTAGTGATTAGTGATTAAAGTGATTGTGATATAAAATATATTATATTCTATGGTTATGGTTTAAAAGTTAAGACTATAGTATTGACTAAATATGTCTAGGAAGTTTCCGTTATTCATCTAATCCGTATTCCGTGCGTCGATCCGCGATCGGACGAAAACTAAAATGTCCAATACTCTTTACATTCGTCTAATACTTCCACTACAAGATTGAAGATCAATTATTTACATATTATAATGTATGAACAACATGTCTTTAACCAATATGTCGATTGGTATTTCAGACCTCTAACAAATGTGAAGTAGGTACCTATGTAGGTTACATTTATCCATTATGATGACAAAATATATTATTATTGTCATGGATCATTGAATCATTTATTAATTATTTAATTTACAAATTAACAAATTATTTAATTAACATATCTATAATATATCGTTTAAATTCAATTTTTGAGTCGGCAAATTAATAGGTCTAACCCCCCCCCCCCCATAAATTGTTCTTCGGTGCTGCCCCAATACTAAGGATAGTATTAACAATTGATAATTTTAAGTTAAACAGAAGTAACAGTGAGCTTACAATAATATACTAATATTTATGTATTTGTGTGATGCTTGTTATTTATTAAGGATTGGGAGTGATGGTGAGTGGGATTTTGCTTATTAGGCATGTTAGAGCAGCTAGGAGGGGGTTTAGGACTAATTTTAACTCGTTAAGGAAATTAGTGACGATTTGCAGAGGTTGATCGGATGATGGAGTGTTCGCTGTGGCTTCGGCATATGAGGGTTTTTCTTTTGGGTTTGAGCGTAGCTTGTCATGTCTACTTCTGTGAGGTGCAGGAGGAACAGCATGTATTTGAATGTGTTGATCTGTTTATGTTATTCCGGTTTGGGATTTGATGTGGCTTAATATTTTTTTAAAGGTTTGGCATCCTTTATTATTAATTATTAATTAGCGGTGTGGTTTCTCCCACAGTTTGCACATTTTGCAGGTTCCTACAGTTTTTTTGTGCAAGTATCGGTGTAATGTTTGGCTCCACATTTCAAGCATCGCGGTTTGTTGTGGCAGTAGTTGTGTGTGTACCCATACTTTTGACAGTGATGGCATTGGGGAGGGCCAAGTTTTTTCTTTGTGTACTCAAATTTTACAATTGAGTTTAATATTTTGGTGATTTTGAATATTTCACGATTATTGGTGTTGCGAACTAGGCTATGTTAAATAGTGGAAGTGGCAATTTGTTCGTACGGTGTGTTATATTTGTAATGCTGATTACTTTGTGCCCTAGGTCACAGTTTGCGATATCTGTGGTAGGAGTCGAATGGTAGAGGTGGCGTAGTATGACACGGAATGATTGGGAGGATCAAAATATTCTTGAAACATATTAAAAGCTTCAACTTAGATACCAGTATTTTATTTATTTTTTTTGACAGGAACCTTTTATAAAATTATAATTTTGAATTGTTGCAGGACATTAATCATATAATACAGCATTATACACAACGTCCCGCTGATATATTCATCGAACAAGAAAATGGCTGCTGGGCAACCACATGATTTAGATGGTTTTATTCCTCTATTATCGACTTCTGATATTCGAATGAAGGTAACTGTTGGTTGTAAATTATTTACTTATTTAGAAGAACCTAGTAATTCAATTGAATGCTCAGATATTGGAATGTTTATTGATGGTATTGTTCAATGGTTGTTAAATAGCAATCCCAAAGTTACCCTGTATGGGATTGAAATAATCACACTATTGATAAACAGAATGAAATTAGATTTTAGACCTTACATTTCTACCATACTACCCCTAGCTGTTGATCGAATTGGTGATAGTAAAGAACCAATTAAAGTTAAAACACTTTTTCTCATAATGAAATTAATGGAATGTAATACTATAAGCCCTCAGGCGTTATTTGACAAAATATCAGTAAATGCGTTTTATCACAAAAATAGTAATGTTAAAGAAGGATCCATGAAATTATTATTGTTAACTATTGAAGAATTTGGTGCAAATTGTATTTCAGTATCAAAAATTATACCTATGATTATAAAACTTTTAAGTGATCCTAATGTTCAAGTGAGACAAAAAGCATTTGAAACACTAGTTGATTTGTATAAACATGTTGGGGAAAAGTTACGTGTTGATATTCAAAAAAAATATTCAATTCCTCAAAGCAAAATGACAGACTTAATGAATAAATTCGATGAAGCTAGAGCCACGGGAAGTTTATTACCAACTGCTTTTGTTGGGCTTAGCTTAACTAACGACGATGAGACAGATCGTACTTGCACATTTGCACCAAAATGTGTCATTGGTAGTATTAAAAGACCAAGTTCATTTTTACCTCTAAAATCAAATTTCACTACACCATTACAACAGGTTGATTCTGTACGAAAACCTTCATCTTCATCAGCAATATCTGCTTCACATGCAGGTGCAGTTGATGAAGATACTTTTATTCGGGCGTTTGAAGACGTTCCTACATTACAAATTTATAGTGTACGAGATTTAGACGATACTATGAAAAAAATACATGGGTCTATTCAAGATAGTAATGAACAATGGAATAAACGTGTGGAGTCATTAAAGAAAATTAGATCACTTGTATTAATTGGAGCAACAAAATATGAAGAGTTTTATAATAATTTAAAGTACTTAGAACATTCATTCCAAATATCTATCAAAGATTTGCGATCCCAGGTTATTAGAGAAACATGTATCACTGTAGCATTTTTAGCCCAACGTTTGGGAATTAAATTTAATCACTTTTCAGAGTCTATTTTTGGCAATTTAATTGAACTTATACAAAATTCAGCAAAAGTCACTGCTTCATCTGGATTAGTTGCTATAAGATTTATTCTAGAATATACACATGCTCCTCGTATTATACCTATTCTTGCAAATAGTTTGGGATCAAAGTCAAAAGATATTCGCCGTGCATGTTGTGAATTTTTCGATCAAATTCTGCGAACATGGCCAACTCAAGCAATAGAAAGACACTTAACTATACTGCAGGATAGCATTCAAAAGGGTATTGCCGATGCTGATTCAAATGCTCGGGTGTTGTCTCGAAAGGCATATTGGGGATTTTGTGAAATTTTTCCTGAGCATGGAGAAATATTATTCAATAAGTTAGAGCCAGCATATCGTAAAATATTGCTTACTAATTCTGGATCCAACTTGTGCTTATCAAAATCTGTAATAGCTGAAAGTACAAAGTTGTCTTCTCGTCGTCCTGTCTCTTCGCGCAGTAATATTTCTGTGAGATCAAGAAGTGCCATAGACTTGCAAGCTGCTAAAAGGTCAAATGCTCCTACTGGATATGCTTCACTTTCTAGACAAAAGTTCAACCCTATTCAATCTGTTACCAAGAAGACTAAAGAAGATATACACCAAACAGACAAAGAGGGAAGATCAAGAGTTCGAGTATCATTATCTCAACCGGCTAGCCGTTCTGGATCACCATCTTCAAAATTAAATTTTGTCCAAACAAATTCTATTAGAGCTACTTCTGGCATACCCAGATCTCGAGATACTAGTAGAGAAGTTAGTCCTAATAGGCTTAATATCAATGGAATGCATATTATGAATAGTAAAGAATCGCCTACTTTGTTCACACCTAGACCAATAAGGACACAAAAGATATCAACACAGAGTCAAGAATCTAAGTTTCCTATTACTGATGCTTTGAGTAACAAAAATTATTATAAGTCTCCGAGAAAAGTATCGGAAGGGTTATTTAATGATTATAGTGATGAAAGCGAGACATCTAGCATGGGTTCTGAACGCAGAGTTGATTCTCACAAACGATTTTCAGATTCATTTTACTTAAATGGTTCAGTATGTGGCCTACATAAAGAAATTTGGAATAACTCAAGTTTAAAATGTTTGAATATTGAAGATATAATATCAAACTGTGAGAGTTCATGCTGGAATAATCGCAAGGAAGGCTTGATAAGCTTACTGAAATATTTTCAACAAGGAAATATTTTGGATGAATTATTACTAACTAAAATAACAGAGGTATTTACTAAAATATTTATGGATTCTCAAACAAAAGTCATAACTCTCTTTTTGGATGTACTTAATGAGTTGATAGTTACCCATAGTCAATATTTAAAATATTGGCTATATACACTTTTAGTAAAGTTATTCATTAAAGGTGGCTCTGATATACTTGGTTCTGTGCACTCAAAAATAATGAAAACATTGGAAATGATAAGATTATCTTTTCCTTTTGATCTTCAGCTAACTGCTGTGTTTAAATTTCTCACAGACCCTACACAGACACCTAATGTTAAAATTAAAATATTTGCCATGAGTTACATTTCACAATTAGCTGTTAGTGCAGACTCAGGGTCAATCTTTGTTTCTGTTGTAAAT